CTGGTTCATTCAGCCCTACCCTGATCTAAGTTCTGATGCCCAGGGAGGCTGTGGTCAGGCCTGGAACCTGCACATGGGTGTCACTCAGCTACCATAGCCTGTGTCACCATCTCTGGACATTCTTTGGCCTTGGGGGTGGGGGTGGGGTGGGAAGAAACCATGCACAAACTCAGGGAATTTTATAGAAAAGTTTCAGAAAAACTGACAGATATGCCTAGGGTTATTTCTCTGTGGATGCTGATGACATCCCTGCTGTGGTCAGGCCTTCCTTTGGGTGCTCCGGGGAGACCAGAGCTGGAGAAGCATGAGCTGTACCTTTGTGGAGAGAAGGGCTTTGGTAGTAGCTCGCTGTGACATATGCGATGACCCAGACTCTAAGAGAGAAGCATGTCTCACCTTGCCCCAGCTACAGCCATCTTTGGTGGGCCTCTGCAGTGGGCTTGCTGTCCCTCTTCTGTGGGTGATCATGTCCCCTGTGGTCCTTCACTGTGATGTCTGAGGCCTGGCTGCAGGTCTGGTCCCTCACCCAGCCTGACAGGCTTCCCTTTAGCTCTGTGCCCATTGGGGTCTCTGTCCCTTTCCTTTTCTCTGTCTGGCTTCATCTAACACATGAAGCAGCTTCAGCTTAAAAGCCACTTCACCAGGGAGAAACCTGATCTCTCAGCACCTGCCATGTCACTTTAGCTGAAGTCAGTACCTTGTTCCATCCTGCATCCTGTGCTGCTAATGAGAATTCATATGTCAGCCTGACTTAAAATACTTTTCCTCCTGGGTAGCTCATGGAACGTTCTCTTTGTTGTTGATGTCGACAGTGTTGCTGACACGTCTTTGCTGTTTGGCGATGACGTTTCCCCCGTGGTTCTCTGCAAGGCTTGTACTGTGTTTTCCTTCGTACTCTCCCCCTTGGTGCTGGGAAAGTACAGCTGGTAACTCTCACAGCCTTCAGGTCTCTCTCTCTCTCTCTCTCTCTCAGATGGGTTTGGGCGTTTATGAATTTTTTTTTTTAGACAAAAACTCAGCATGCATAGGGGAGGTGGACAATAAGCCCCACCCCTAGCTGATGATTTATTGACGGTTGTTATCTGCTCAGAAAGGGAGTTTCTTTTAAGCGTGTGCTGGCTGGTAGATTGACCAGAACTTCAAGGGATGTTCCCACACTCAAGAGCATTTGGGGAAAACAAAGTAGGCCTTTAAAAATAAAAGTTAATACAAGTAATAATAGAGGACGTGAAATTGGGGGTATGAAGATGGGAATGGAGGTGGTGGAAGGGTTCTGAGTATGATGAAATACATTGTATGGAGTTCCCAAAGAATCAATACAGTATGCTTTTTAAAACTAAAGAAAAAGGAATAAAAATTAAAAACATGAATGCAAGTTGTGAACTTTTGGCAAGTCTCCAAACATACTTGCATAGATTTCCATTTTTGATCTGTGACCACATGATCTTTCATTCCCAAGACTTCCTGCTTTTCTTCCTTCAAAGACTTAAAAACATATGCTCTTTCCTTGGAAGGCTTAATTCCTCCTCCATCTTCACTTGATCAAATCTTAAGATCGAAACTGCCGTTATACTTTGTCTTTCCAAGAATTTTCAATTTGAAGTCACTTTGTTTATATTTATAAACAATTCACTATATAATGTATTCTACTGGACAGTTCTTTATGGTAAAAACCCTGAGCCCATTGATTATGAGCGTGGATTCTGTAGTGAGATATCAAGTTCAAGGTCAAATCCAAGCTCAGGAGTGAAGATATGAGTAAATGAATCCTTTCTTCATCGGAACTTGGAAACTTTTTTTTGAGAAATTCTATTTTTGTTAAATGTTTGCTATGTTGTAAAAGTTCCATTTTGCGGTTTGGTTCTTATAATTTTTTCTGACAGTGAACAAAGTATGTGAAACATAGAGGATGACTATGAATCATGCTTTTATGATACTGCTTTAGGATTAGGATTATATCATCTGGGCGTTTAGATAAATTACTACTTTGGAAAATCTGGCCTTTGGGAATGAGATATATAAAGTACGAAGGAATGTGTCAGATACCTTGCCTAGAGAACTTGGCATTGGTCATGACGATACATTCACGTGGTTTATGGAAGAGCTGAGATGGGATGCATTTGGAGCTTACTGATTTTCAATGTCAATGAGAAATCCAAGTTAAAATGTGCTACTATAAGTCCAAAGCTGTGGAAGGTGAGGAGGTTAAAATCCAGAGTTAGTTTTCAAGGACACAGAGGATTATTTGAAGTCTGTTCTTGCAGGAAATGTTTTCATATCTGCAGTAGCCCTTGAATTCTTTCTTCAGTGGCAAAGGGGAGCAGACGAACTCTAGGCTGCCCCGCTAGACTCTGTATTCAACCTTCAGTTTGCCTTTCGATTGTTGGAAATATTTTTCATTCAGCTCTTCTATGTTTTTCCTTTTTCCATCCTGTTGACAACCCTGCTGATAGCCCAGGCTAGACCATATACCAAGGCCACCACGTGGAGGCAGGATCCAGGTGCTCACATTTATGAATTTTTTTCTTCAGTCTCAGCCTGGTAACTTCAAAACAAAACCAGCCAGACTTCACGGTTGTGTAAGTTGTAGTGTGTGAAGAACTTGTCCTAAGGCTTGTCCTCATGGGAGGTGAGAGCTCCTTTGTTCTGGCCACTGCTTCCACCTTTAAAGCAAATTTCCAGCAGAAGGTCTCCAGTGGGCCTTGTTGTTCAGGCTTGCTGTTACATACATCTATTTTTATTTGTTTTGTTTTTTTTGAGACAGAGTCTCATTCCATAACCCTGACTGGCTTAGAACTCACTATGTAGCGTGGCAGGACTTGAACTTGTAACAGTCCTCCTGCCTCGGCCTCCTAAGTGCTTGGATTATAGGTATGTCCCATCATGCCCAGCTTTTTGTTTCATTTTTATTTAAAAAAATATTTTATTTGTTATTTTTATTTTAT